GACTACTGGATAATTGGACAGAGGGCCCTCTTCGCCCTCTTCTGATCTGCAGATCTGTATTAACCACAACCTTTACGTTAAACCTACAAATTATTAAATAGTCTTGTGAAGACTAGCTTTAACCAAAATGCGTCTGGTCTCAATTAGATTTAACTGAGAATATTTGTTAATTCTAATTCTGCGTAGTTAAAACCAGAATTAACTAAAAAGGAAACGTTAAAACTAGTTTTTTTTTAGATAGATGGCGTTTTAACAGAAATCGGGTTTTTTCATGAGGTTTTACGGTGACATGTACCTACATGTATTAGGCTGATTCAAATTTTTGTTTTTGTTTCAAAATGACTTCAAATTGTAAGCACATTTGATAAGAATTTTGCTCCAAGGAGAACTCAAAATATTGATATTTACTGGTGACTTGTTGGATTTTTTTAGTTTTCCATATGAAAAGCATGGTAAAAAATATTTCACATTTAAAAGGGCATAAAGTTTTCTTTAAAAGAATTGTCATACTTTTTTTACAAAAATCAGTATTCGGAAAACACAATTACTGCTGTTCATTCTACGTAAAAATGATGAACAAAATCCCTTTGATCTTTTTTCTGGGATTTCATTTCGTTTGCATAAAATCTGGAAAGACAGTCGTATAATGTCATAGCTCGAATGTTTGTAACAATTTACACAAACAAAATAAAATCTGACAAAAAGGAGACTTTTCTCCTAATCTTTCGGCTTGAGTTTCGATGAGTTGGCAGAGGAGGAAGAATTTAATATATTGTAATTGAAATTAAACAAATAAAAACTTAATAACGTTATTATTCATTTATTGTTTTTTGGTCTCATTCCTATATTAAAATTATAAAGTGAGCTTTACCAGCCTAGAATATATTTATAGCTACACTTCTAAATTGATTAAAAAATACAACATGTAATTATACAACACGCTACTGAAGTGAAACTTCTTGAAGCATACAAACATACCGGGATAGGAGTTAAGGAATTGGTTTAATGGTATTATCTGTACACTATGCTTCGCACGGGTGCAATGCTGATAGTAAATATACTATAGAATGTCTTTATATACAACAATCACAGCTTTTATGTCATTAGACAATACAAACCGGCCGGTACCGCCGCAACCGCTATGTCCCTGCACTTTAAGTTAGTTTAAATTACATGCTGTAAAAGGGCATATTGATCTATATTAAATGCACAATGTATTTAAAAGTACTTAATTGGATAAGGATTAATGCTGTATTGCTTAAAATCGCTTCGTAAATAAGTCATTATTTCTCGTAAAAAGTAAAGGATAAAAAATGGTTATTGTGGGTTATCCCTAAGAGATAGACATATACCATCATGGGCTTTTTTGTAGACCTTTTTAAGGTGTACAATACTGTAGTATATTATTGTGATCTATCTCGTAGGGTTCAGCCAGCGTTTGCAATGTAAGCGCAAAAAATGTGTTTATTTACGTCATATTACAAACATCTAAAATTATCAGTGTTTACTATGTTATACATATACACCTTCCTCTTGAATTACTCTATCTATTAAAAAAAAAACCGCATTAAAATTAGTTTAAAGATCTAAGCATACATAGGGACAGGCAGGGGGGGAAATGCGTTGCATGATTTCGTTACATAGCAGCTCGCAAGAAACGAACTTACCCTACCGTGCATAGGGAAGTTTCACTTCAAAAAGAAAGGTAGGTGATCTGAAATTTTAGAAACATTCATATTTATATTAAAGCAAAACGCTACTACACTAGGTATACGCATTTTATAAACATAAATACAGGATGATCCGACAACTTCGTTGAGTAATTCTATTACGCCCTCTGTGAATATGAAAATAAATTCAGACGATTTCATATTTCTTCTTCAATATTCATCATTATCTTCTATTTCTAATAAAAATTTCAGAAAAAAGGGAACCATTATTAATACTGCTTTAAATTAAACAAAATAAACCAAGCAGCGACTATGTGTGAATGTTAAAAATAACCTTAGTAAAAACAGATGATTGATCCTTTTAGCCTTTTGCATTACATTAAGGGTGGGGAACGATGCGTTTCAGATGTCTCCAATACCACACGATACTTAACAACTGAGCAAGCCTTCTAGTTTGCTCACCATATTAGGAACAAATTGTACAGCGTCGCAAAATGAATTCAGCTGCTGTTTTAGTGTACATTACGTTTCCGTAGGTAACATATGATGAAAAAATTTCAATAATAGTTCTTAAACGACCCATGTCTCAACTACATTCAGAAAATAAATCAATATCTATAGGTACTAATTTTGAAATTATTCACTTCATATGCGAAACAGTACGAGCCGCCACTGCCTGGAAGGTTTTATTTTAGCTCGGTTACCTCACGAACAGAGTCTCAGATTTGTGGGATTCTAGACCCAATGAAATCAAAATAGTTTTCTCTGCCACAAAGAAAAATCTGATGGCGTCGTCGCGGCTTTACGCCACTTGCTTCGCTGAGTCGCGAAAAGCGTTTCGCTCGATTCGTAGGGAGAATTTGGTTTCGTGGGTCTCGTTCGTTGTTACGCCACAACGGCAGCGTGGCGTTAACGCAACGTCACACAAGGCCCGCTCTCGCTACCTCCTCCCGAAATACTCCCAAGTCATATTCATTTATGCGATATTCAAATATCTATATAAAGGCCGAAGAAATTGACTTCATGAAAGTAAAATTGGAAAAGGCGTCGGACATATTGATACCGAATGAATGTTTGTGGTTCGAAAAGAAAATTGATGAACCTCCCCGATAATGTTCTCAGAAAAGGTCGTTATCTTTTAACAATTGGGAAACGAAGAGTTTATTTCTTTTTATAAAATTGTGACATAAAAAGAATACAAATTGTCCCAGCCTTGATGTTGGTCTTAATCTTGCTTATTCGGTCTTGGTCTTGATCTTGCTCAAATACTTCTATTCTGGGTCTTGCTGATGTTTTCGGTCTTGGTATTGGTGTTCCTGATATAGTCTCGATCTTGGTCTTGCTCATTTAATCTGGTGCTTACGTTTTTTTAAATAATTCTTCGAAGCACAAATTTTTCTATTTTATTTAGAAGCCTTAGAAATGGGATGTTACCGCCAAATGATGAGGATACCGTGGATAGAGAAGGTTAGAAATGAAGAGATATTAGAAAGAATAGGAGAACAGAGGTCTCTATGGAATTTAATAAGAAATAGGCAAGATAGGTTAGTTGGACACATTTTCAGACACGATGGTCTGTATAATCAAAGACATATTAGAGGCAGAAAAGGGAGTTAGGAGGGGTAGAGGTAGACCTAGATTAGATTACTGTTCGCAAATAGTTAAGGATGTGGGTTGTTCTAGTTTTAGGGAAATGCTAAGATTAGCTGAGGATAGGAAAGAGTGGAGGTGCGTGTCCAACCAGTTTTAGAATTGTCGACCTTAAGATGATGATAAAACCGAAAAGCGCGTCAGGCGTTACGCATTACGCGTCACGCGCCATGTATGACTCCTAGTGGATATGTCTAAAAGGAGTCACTTTCACAGGCTTCAAAAGCTAATCTGTTTGTAATAACCGATAATCCGAAAAATACCATTTCGACAAATTGCCAGAAGATGGTGCCTACACTGTACTGTATATGTATTGCATATGCGTTTTTGTTTGTTATGATTTATAATTCCTCTCTACAATTTTGTACGGTGCAAGCGTAAAAGTTTTTAACAAAACTAAACCAATATTCCGCATTCATCCACTCAAAATAAAGTTGCATTTCTCTGGTGTTTGGTAATTAGTTAATGCAATAGTTTTTTTAAAGTACAACTATAATATACAATCTTCTTACGGGTGTTTACTGATACACGCTCGCACTTTTTTCTTTTCATTAAAGGCACCCATATTAATCCCACAAATTTTTTAAGCGATTTTTAATTAGCAGCTTTATCTTTACTTCGTCGAAAGCTTACGGTAAAACGTCGATAAAACCCCAAACGGGACTTTTATTTTACAACAAGATTAAGTAGGTATTGTGTACATTAATTCAAGGTATTAGGTAGTATACTTTATAAACCATACTTAAATTAAACTTCGCTATAAAGTTAGAATTAAGACATTGTTATACTTATTCTTTTGCAGAAATTTCTTTACTGAAAGTTTTTAAAAGCTAAGATAATAACTTAAAAGCATTTATTATTTTACATTAAACTATCAAGAAAATCATTTACAATAAAATTGAAAAGATCCATATNAAGGACGTAATATCGATTATCGAAGTGTATCTAATCACATTGTCATAGTGAACTAAATGAAGGTTAAAATTCCAAGAACAGTTCGTTCGTTCGTTCGTTGATGTATCTAAGCCTCCCGAAGATATTTGACTTCAGATGAAAAGAATTCTTCGATCCTCGGTAAACGCCATCTGTAGTACGATGCTACATTTTAGGATTACGTATGCTCCAACAAGGCCATTTGTGGTATTTTCTAAAACGCGCTGTTAAGACATCAGCAGGTAAAAGTTGGTCTGTGTTCTGTCGGAGCTGCCTGCGACGCGCTAATGAGATCCATAAAGATCGAAATCGCGATCCGCAGTTTCGACAGAATACAGACCATTTCGAATTATTTTGTTCGAGAAATTTCAACTTTTTTAAAAACTACTCTTTGATTCTTTCGGTGCAATTTATCTTTAAAATTGGCTTACTGGATCCAAAAGAATCCTATGTGTACATGTTAATCTTTAGGAATTTATTACAAAAATATGTCGCTAAAGTGGAATGATTTTGAATCGGGTTGCCAAGTAAGAGTAAAGAAAACTAAAGTAACGAAAAAGAGAAAATAGAGGGAGAGTTGATGTTAAGCACGTGTCACCTCTTTCTTCCGATCGACGAAACCCGCATCTCATTTCCCAGGGCGACGTGATCCGAATCTTGATTCACTCTATATAACTTCTTGATTCCATATTTCACACCTCTTTACATTTTTTAATATCAAATATCTTATTGAAACATTTTTTGCAGGAGATCGCTGCCATATTGATCAGCTTCGACAGGCACACAGAATGGCAAAGCAAAGAAGTCAAGATACGGTAAGTTTATTACAAACATGTTACGTTAAACCACTTCAACATCCGAAAATACTGAAAATAAATTATAATTTTTTTGCATCGTATTTGGACAATAATTGAAATAAATAATTTATCAGTCAAAACTAACATAATAAATAGAACCTCAAGTAATTGGAGAAAATACGTAAATTGGTTCGTATAGGTAAGGATGTGATTTATTTGATATACTTGCATGCATTGAAAATGTAAATAAAAAATATCTATTTCTATTATGCATTTAAATACTTTTTGATGTTACGTTGTGCTATTATTACATATCAAAAGTTATAACAAATGAACAAAAGCTACCCACATTGGTCATTTAAGGTATTAGATACTCAAAAGGGGACAAAGAAAAATTCTATGGATGCCTTCTAGTAGTTGAACCGAAACTCCTTGGAAATAGATAATAAAAAAAATATATTCTGTATTTGATATTGTTTTCTGGCCTGTTTCATCGTAGTCCATGGAAATTCGCAAATCCAAACGTTTTGACTGACAACTCAGCACCTTCCAAATGACCACTGAAGGTGCTTTCAGTAAAGAATGCCGAAACGTCGCCAACTACGAAATTCCATGGACCACAGCAAAACAGCACGGAAAACAATATCGATTCGATATACGTAGGCGTGAAAATTAGAAGATAACATGTTAAATTGGATTAGATCCTTGATGATAAATATATATTGCGAAATAAAAAGATGTCGTCTTCACGATTTTATTTAGATCCTAAACTCTCTGTTTTCTGATTAACAAATATATAAATGCAAGGTATTGTAGTGTGTAAATGCTTAGTTATAATCAAATTGTCAAAAAACGATTCCAAAAACTATACTTATTAAAGAAACTATGGATTCCATTTCTTTCCCTTATTATCTGTCATACTCGTTTATTAAATTAAAACGGATACCAAAGGCAAATAAGGGAGCATGTACGCGAATTGTTTGTTGCTGAACTGAGAATTGTGTGAACAAGGATATAAAAAATATATCTCAATCACATTAAACAGAAAAAGGAAAAGAAAAAAATAATGTTACTTATACTTATTTATTAATAACCAAATTCATCGAACAACAATATTCTTTAATATATATTCGTGTATAATTGATAGATAAATAATGCCCCTTAACTGTTTGCAGTAATTGTTAAATATATACAAACATCACGTCTTGAAGGAACGTTTTAAATCTTTTCGTTGATATGATAGAGTTATAAACAAGGCTAGTTGACAGTAATTGTGATTGCCACACATAATAATCTTTTACAGGCACCCCATGTGTCATCATTGTCAATTGTGAACGGTATATTTAAATAATATTTTTAGAACTAAGTGGGTGTTTCCATGCGTGTTTGTTGATGACATGTTATTACAGTTATTTGAATAATACCAAAAACAGTGTATATTATATACGCCTACAAAATACCCAAAATATCTACAATGGACACATCACCGTTAATTATTCAATTTTTTTAAATATAGCCACTAAAATTAAGCTTGAATTCACGTTATTTGCCTAAAATAGACACATTTGATTTTATCAATAAGTACGCAAATAGGGAACGCTCTCATTAACTACAGCAGCCGCAACATGTACTCACTATCTACCATATTATAATGATTCTATGCAGTAGGTTCACTTTCCAGCTACATCCCTCTCCTGCCGACACTTCATCTACGAGTTCTTCGCTAAGCAGGGGCTGACTTCTACGGGGTGTCATCGTAAAGTCACAGTGCAAATACATTTTGTATTTAATCACTTTGGTAAAGCTACTGAAGCAGTTCAGCGCATTTAAAATTAATTTATGATGGCCTGCAAAAAATGTCGGTATTTTAAGCAGATCAAAGGAGTGAACCTGCTGTATAGAATCTTTAAACTGTGTTGTCTAGTACAGAACAAGGTCATGAAAAGTTTTAGAATCCCAACGATTTTCGAAACTCTTGTGGCGGTCTCAAAAATGACTTTTGGACTGTAGGAACATAATTTTATTTACATAGTCGCGTAGATTCCTTATAGGTATCATCATAAGGTCCCAAGACATTTCCTTAATTTCCTTCCGGTCTGTTCTTCCACGTTCCACTGTTTACATTCTGTTATTAATTACAATCAAAAATAATACTATTTTGATTGAGTTAGTATCCTTTGATATATGATAGGTTTAGAAACCACAGAGTTATTCTACTTTGAAATCGCCCATAAATTTGTCACCCTCTGAATTTTGTTTCATAACTTGATGCCCTTTTAAACGTCACTGTTAGTTTAACGAGATAAGGGCGAAGTGGAAGTTCGGGAGATGGGATGGCAATATGTATATAAGTTTAACTCATTTTATTTGTGCTTTCAAATAAAGCACACGTTCAGAAAAGTGTGCCTTAACGAGGCATAGATTTTTAAATTGTAAATAATTTTAAATTTAATTTTGAGGGTAAACTTACAAGTAGTGGGGTCATCTAAGGGATGTACAGTTCTGAAATACCGATAGTAGGCTGTACAATTGGCGAAAAGGACGTAATATCGATTATCGAAGTGTATCTAATCACATTGTCATAGTGAACTAAATGAAGGTTAAAATTCCAAGAACAGTTCGTTCGTTCGTTCGTTGATGTATCTAAGCCTCCCGAAGATATTTGACTTCAGATGAAAAGAATTCTTCGATCCTTCAGTCTGTTCCGAAAGACAATGAGACAGTTTAACAAAACTTGCATTCCGTGAAATGAAGAATATATGGTGAGAGATGAAGAAGGTTTTCTACACTGTCCAATTTTTAATAATTTTTTAATGATCAGTAACTTTGTATCAAAAATAGTTATATTTTTATACGAAACTAGTGTGAAGCATATATGATCATGTAGGCAAATATTCATGGATGCAATTTACCGTTAACAGCTTATATAACATATTTATCGATGAATTTGATAGGATATTCATTTTCAAATAAAAGATTTTTTATTAATTTGTTATTTTCATTGTGTTTGATGTCTGATAACCCTTATGATTTGCCTACTAAACTACTAATAGCACAAAATTTATAATTGAACTATCAGTTAAGGTACCGACCTGAAAAGGTATTTTTATGAATCCAATTTGTAATGAGTTTGTCACTGTTACTCTATTGTACTGTAACATCTAGGAAACTCAACTTCTTGTCATATTCTAATTAATGAGCGAATTGCAATCTGGGGGGTCTTTATTAAAAGCATCAAGAATGTAAACTACATTATTCAAAATAATTAGAAAGGTATCATCAGTATGTCTTTTATAAGTAAAGGGGGGAAAATGTAAGAGGTTTTAGACAAGAAGATTGTAAATCGTTCATCATCATATCGACCAAAATTGGTGATAAAGGGTTGCCCATAGGAGTTCCAAAGGTTAGTTTAATAAAAGGGTTTGGAAAAATAAAGTAAGCACAAGTTTACATTGGACCTAACTTGGCGCGCTTTTTTCGATCTTGACTCATGCGGCAGCTTCCATTGGGATGATTGAGCTTTGATTTCCACGTCACAACCATAAACCCATGATCCGTCACCAGTTATGATCCTCTGGAGCAAATTTGGGTCGTCGTGGACAGAGTCCAACAGCTCCTTAGCAATGTTAATGCGATGTTGTTTTTGGTTTGAGCAATTTAGGTACGAATTTCGCGGCGACCCGTCTCATGCCCAAATCATGGTAAAAATGGAATGGCAGGAGTCAATCGATATGTTTAGGTCCTCAGCAACTTCTCTAACGGTGATTTGACGATTGGCCAATACTATTTTCTTCACTTCATCAATGTTTTCGTCTGTTGTTGACGTGCTCGGGCGTCTGACTCGCTCTTTGTTATTCACATCTTCTCGGCCCTCTGAGAACATTTTGTACCATCGATAAACGTTGCTTCGGTCCAGGGTAACTTCACTATATGCTGCAGTCAACATCCGGAATGCGTCCACGCACTTAATTTTGTTTTTCACACAAAATTTGGTACAGTTTTTTTGACTCATCTAAAATTGTTTCTCTAGCTTCAAAAAAATGTTCTTTCGATATCGGAAAGTAATTTTCGATGAGATGCCAACAATTATTAATAGTAAATCTAACTTTATAAGATTCATTACTTAATAATTTTTAGTATTTGGTCTCAGAAGGTCATAGCTTACGATTGAAACACCTACTTTGGTGAGAACATCGATGGAGTCGTATATCCGACGTTTCGCTAACTGCAATGATTGATATCCACAGGAAACGTATGGGGACCGAAAAGTCCTTTGCTGAATTAGATAAAAGAAAAATGCATATTACTGAATGGAATAAATAACATTTATCATTTAAAGATATCCGAGATATCGATAGAATCAACGAAGTTCAAAACTTTATTATCGTATTTAATAGCTGAAGGGAATTATTGAATGAGATAATAAAATAACGTTGGAAATTGCTCTTTTATTTGGCGACTTAAGAATGAAATTGTTCAGAGCGTTGTTGTGAAATCGAAGTTTTTTTTTTAAAAATGAAATTGTTCAGAGAGTTATTGTGAAATCGGAGTTTTTTCTGTTGTTTACATTTCGGGAGTACCCCATAAACAAAACCGTTTGCATTTATATTAGAGAACAACGGGAGCCCCATATTCGTTTGTTAACACAAGAAAGCCATTACTGGATTCTGTTGGCACTAAAGATAAAGGAAGAACAAAACCTGAAACGATATAATAACTCTCGACTAGAGCTTTTCATTTCGCTTATTGCTCGTGGTATCCAGTTGAGTGGTTTAGTCAAAGTGTACCCTCTAAATGGATAGCTCTCAGCGGGAAGTTTCGACAATATAACAGAATATTCTTTATTCTTCAAGTAACGAGCAAGGTCGTACACAAACTGGAACTAGATAGCAAAAACTTTCTCCCTTATTTATGATCCGATTATAAAGTAAAAAACATCAAAATTCATTCAAATATACGATTTCACTCCTAAGATAGGAAAATTATTAAAATAAAAGCGTGGAATATTGGCGTTCGTA